CCAGCTGGGGAGTGCGTAGACTGCCAAAAGCCGCCTGACCAGGCTCTGCAATGTGATTCAGGAGGAGAGAGAGAAGTGACTATCGGTCTCAGAGATCCTCCCTCTTGGCCTTCCCTCTTGTCTTTCTAGGTGGGCTCCTGGGCTCCTTGCCTCCTCCCAGCACCTGCTTGTCTGGACCATCCCACGAGGGGATGGGTTCGGGGCCACTGTCCCAGAGGCGCTGGCGGAAGGGCTCTAGACGCTGACGCTGCAGCTCGGTTAGGGCCCGTGCCACGTCACCCCCATGCTGGAACAAGGCTTGAAGAGACCCCTCCTCAGGCCCGAAGCCCAGGGACCGAAGCTCCTGCACCTTTAAATTGAGAGCAGAGAGAGTGAAGAGAGAAAAGCAAGCAAAGGACAATATGAGGGACTCTGAGACCCACAGCCCTGTCCCACCTCCAGACCTACAACCTATACCTTCTTCCGCCGGGCCCTCACACACTCCTCCACAGCTTCATCAAGGTTGCCATGACGATCCAGCCAGGCTTTCCGGGCTTCCTGACAGGAAAAGGCACCCAGCCCCGGGTCCTGCTGTCCAGCCAGCTCAGCCACCATCTCCAGCACGTAAGGCATCTCTGAGTGCAACCACTGCAAGGGCACCTCAGTACCCGAGTACTGCAGAGCTGAGAAGACCTCCTCTGGACAGGCACCTGCAGCTTCCCCTTCCTAAGGCACAGTCACACCCAGATAGGCTCATCAGAAGGGACACCCTCCTTCCATGCTCAGCCCAAACCAAGATCCCTAAAAGGCTGAGCGTAGAAGGATAGATCATGTCATGTGACCAGCCCACAGCACTGCCATGTGGGAAGTATTCATTGAAAGGCAGCTGCTGCTAACAATAATAAGTTTTATAAGAACTCTTATTAAGCAAATGTAGGGTCACCCTACTCCTGCCAGCTCAGCCCCACCTCATCGCAGACCCAGTCCTCACCTGAATCTTGATCACTAGCTGGAGACCTTCCTCCCGCATCTTGTCTTGGCGCTGCTTTTCAGGGTCTCCACAGGTACTAGGCAGAGGGACACTGAGCCGCTGTGGAGGCTCGGGCTTGGTGAGCCCCTTTTCCAAAGAGCTGGCATGGGGCTGGGTGGCATGCTGTACTACGATGGGGCTGTTGGTCCGATTGCACATAGCACACACCCAGCCAGGGCCTGAGTTGCAGAAGGTACAGTGAATACAGTACCAAACTTGAGTCTGGGCAGAGGAGAGCAAAGTATCCCCCTGCTGGGAAGGCACAGAGAATTATCCCATTGACTGACTAGCTGAGGTTCACAATGGAGATACAGGGAGCTGGGGAACTGAAGGAAAATGGGGAGTGGGGAAGTAAATGGCCTGAGGTAACAGATTTGAGTAAATATCTGGGGAGGCCAGGAGCAGTTACCTGAAGGGGCTGCAGGCAAATGCCAGAATCCTGGGAATCCACCACCAAGCTGGGAGGCTGGGCCAGCCGAGGTCGCTCACATATGGCACAAAGCACAGCCGCTGCCTCATTCTCAAAGGTACAACTCTGGCAGGCCCACTGACCCCGTGCAAGCTCAGGTTCTAGGGCCCCAGTTCCTTGGGAACCCTCAACCCTCAGCCCCAACCCCTTACAGCCTCGGGGTCGATGACAGGCCACACAGAGCACTGTCCACGGCTCATTTAGCATGGTACAGGCAGCACAGTGCCAGGGAAGACGGGCACTTGCAGGATCAGGGGAAGAAAGAGAGCTGTTTCCCAGGGCCAGCAGGGAGGTTGGCAGGGGCCGTGGTTGGGTTGAGGCAGGTAAACTGTAATGGAAAAGCAGACATGGCCTGCTGAGGTGGGACCTGGTGGCTGGGTCCCTCACCCCGGGCATCCCTCATTTTCTGAGTAACAACTTGTGGCTCTGGCCTTTGCACATGTTGTTCTGTCTGGAACACTTCCACATCCATAACCTGTTCAATGTTTAAAGCTTGCTCTTTCCTGGTAGAGATTCCTAACAGTGGGCCTGACTCATACTACAGTTTAAAATATGCCAAGTGAGTGAACTGATCCTTCAGACTAGGTTGCATTCACTTACCACCTATTTGCACATCATAAGGAAATGATCTGCTTTACTGTGACTGTTACTTGCTCGATGTTTATAACTTCCTCGAGGGCTACGCTGGCTGCTTTTCCTCTACTACCTGGTTTTTAGCACAAGACCTGACACACAGTAGGTACTCAAGTGATCTTAACTTCTCTAAATGTTAGATCTACCCAGGATGGAATGCCTCTCACCTGGGGCTCAGGTGGGTGGCATGGAGGGCCTCAGGCAGGGTCTGGCGGACGTGATGGGCACGGGATGGGTGTCCATGAAACAGGTGGTCACAGGCTGGGCACAAGGCTTGTTTACAGGTTGGGCAGTGCAGGGTTCCTGGAGCAGAACCACAGAGGAAGCAGGGACCAGGAGTAGAGCCTGGAGAACAGAAGAGAAAGAACAGAGCATCTTCCTAAAAAAAAGACCAAGTTACCTCTGAGTTTGCTACAAAGGAGAACAAATCACGAGACTACTTTTCAACCCATTTGTATCCAAGAAAACAACTTTAAACTTAAAAAAAGATGGAAGATAACAAATAAGATAGGCAGGAGTGTCCCAAACTTTCATCAGTATAGTCTTCTACTACTTGCACCCCCCACCCCCATACAGGATCGATCATACCTAGAGCAGAGGGTGTGGTGAGAGGGCCAGGAGTAATCTCTCTTAGCAGGGGGTCAAACTCTGAAAGCTGCAGCCTCTGAGAAAGAATGGTCAAGGAATGAGCAAGGGTATGAGACCTAGAGTCTCACAAATTCCTGCCTCCTCTGTTCACCAGCCCCCTTCCTGCCTTCCTTACATCATCTTCAACCGTGTCTTTCAACAACTGCTCCAATGCCTTCTGTCTTGGGTGAGCATCCTGAAAAGCAGATAAAAAGAATTCCCACCAAGAGTCCCGAACAAGGCCCTCCCTCTAAGCCCTAGTCCCTTGACATTCACAAGGAGAATAATACCAAGAGTTCCCAGACTGCTGTGGTTACCATGCCAAGGCCCATGTGCGTGCGTGCGTGCCTAAGATCCTGAGAGGAGAATGGAGGAGAAGGGATTGCATCGTGGCCATCCCCCCTGGGGGGTGATTTCTGGCTTTCTGTCTCTCTGGCAAGCACATGCACTCTATAGCAAAAGCCTCTCTCAAAAAAAAAAAGATAAGCCCTGGTTCTTAGGTCATCAGAACTGAAGAACGAACCTCTCACCTGCAACAGTAGGCTGAGCTCTGTCCGGAGCAGTAGTACTTCCAGTGTGACTGTAGCAACCTGGTGTTCATCTGGCTCCTCCTGCCCTTCGGGGAAGCTCAGTCCATCCGGCTGCTCCTCCGTGTAACCATACAATCGTAGTACGTCCCGGCCCCCCTGCCACACATCCACAACCCGTTATCACTCAGGAGATCACCTTCCAGTAGGGCTGAACCCTTTCCATTTGGCGCAGCTTCAGACCTTTTCTAGCTAACCCCAGTCCAAACCCTTCCTCCCATAAGGACCAGAGGTTTCACCTGCACAGCATCCACCGTGCTACGAAAGACAGGGTTATTAAACTTCACCCCGCGCCAGTACCGGGGCCGCTGAGGGCTGAGGAGGTTGCGGCCGTATTTCTCCAGGATGTTCAGGGCCGTGGACAATGTGTTGAGGTAGATCCGGGGCTGGGAGCAGTCAGAAAGCACAGGGTTGTGAGCCTGGCCCTGGCCTCTGGCCCTACATTCCCCTTTCCGTGCGGCCTCACCTCCCCATGAGCGTTGCAGCGGACCAGGCGTGCGGCGTCCAGCTGCAGATAGCGGGCGGCTGGTGGCAGAGAGGTGGCCAAGAGCGGCCGGAGCTGCTCCAGGGAGAACGCCTGCCCGGAATCCCTCCTCAGGGCGCTTGCCAGCTCCTTGCGAGCGGCCAGGAAGGCCTGATGCTCCTCCTCCCCCGGCATCCTGAGATGGGAGTCAGCCCAGTCTCATTGGCCCAGGACCCAGCACAGGCTGCACGAGGCCCGGGCGCCGTCCCTCCCGCCTGGTGTCTGCCTTTGCAGCTCGAGCCTGGCCTAGCAGCCGCCCCCGGTCACTCCGACCACCGTCACTCTGTGGCCCCCGGCCCAGCGCCGGGGACAGCCAGGGACAGCCGGGGACAGCCGGGAACAGGAAGAACTAGAAGAGAGGGCGGGACTGCGACCCGGCCTCGGAGGAAGAGGCGGAGTGAAGGCTAAAGGGGGGAAGGACGCAGGAAGCGGGGAGCGTGGCTACGAGAAAAGACCCGGTCCCAGCCAATGAAGAAGTAAAGGGCCCGGCCTCACCCCCGGCGCGTCTAGCGCTTCCTCGTTATTCTAAGAGGTCTTCCCCGCCTTCCTTTGGCCGACACCGCCCCTTCCGGGTAGCGCCACTTACGGGTTAACTCAAAGCTTTCCTGTCTGGTCCTGTCTGCTCTACTCCACTCCCCACGGGGGAAGTCCCTACCTGCTAGGGACCCGACTCTGGCCGGTCCTAACCCCACTCAAGCGAGTCCTGCCCCTCTCCTGTCCTTGAAGGCAGTGCGCCCTCCTGGAGGAAGCCCCCTTGACTGCTCCTTCCACCTGCTGCTAGCCCTTCTCCCCAGGTCCTCCCACTTACTGCTCCTCTCCTTGCTCTGATCCCTCCCAGTCCTCTCTCAGGGGTCGAACCTTATAGAGGCTGCTCCACCACTGGCTAGGTCCTCTCCTATACTCCCATCCCTCTCATCCCAACCCTGGGATTCCCCTGGACAGCCCTTGGCCCTCGCCACAAGCCCCACCCCCTCCTCTAGGGACAGCCCCAGTTCCTGACTCGGCCGTCCCACTCGCCTTAGCCCCACCCTCGGACAGCCCCTGGGCTTGTGACCAGGCGGCACCGCCTCTCCTGGTGGCAACTGGCTGGGAATGGCTGAGGGGCTACCTACGGTCTGCTGCCTGCCAGAAGGAGGGGGGAAAAGAGGAGAGGGGGCGGGGCTGAGGGGGGCGGGCCTGGACCTGGGGAGTGAAGGAGAAAGCCGGGGCGGCTAGCCGGAGACCGGAGGTTTAGTAACTGGGAGCAGCATGGCCAAGCCTTGTGGGGTGCGCTTGAGCGGGGAGGCCCGCAAACAGGTAAGGGGGAACCGGAGGCCAGGTAGGGGCTGGGGAGCCCTCCTGGATGAAGGCCAAGCTGGGTGCACCAGAGGACCAAGGCTGTGCCAGAGAACACCCCCAAGCCTCTCTTTGGTGCTTTCACTTCTGCCGGCAGATTCCTGCCCTCTGGCCATCTCTGCACTGATCAGGGCTTTCTGGGAAAACTGACTGTGGTAGCAAAGGCCTGAGCCACAGTTGGAGGGCACGGGTTGGGGCTAGGAACTTACTCTTGATAACTGAGACTCTTAACCAACACTCTGGTACTATTCTCTCTGCAGGTGGATGTCTTCAGACAAAATCTTTTCCAAGAGGTAAGTCTCTGGATTCACTGATTTGACCCAGAACCTGACCAGTACTTAAGTTCCACAGCTCTCAGAGTGACACCCCCCAACCCACCCTAGACTTAATCCTTAATTCCCTTACCAAACCAGCTCCCAAGATGAACTCCTAGTTATTTTTTTTTTAATATTTTTTTGAGAGGTTTTTTTGCTAAAGGGTGCATGCTTGTCAGAAAGACAGAGAGAGACAGAGAGACAGAAAGTGAGAAATCACCCCCCAGGGGGGATGGTCACACCTCAATCCCTTCTCCTCCATTCTCCTCTCAGGATCTTGGGCACACACGCACACATGCCTGTCGTGAGTTTAAGCCACTGGGTCCGGGACTCGAACCACAGTCAACTACATGGCAATCCAGCGATTGCCATTTTACCAACTGCTGGTCCCAGAACTCCTAATTATTCATTTCTTTTTTTATTTTTTAGAAAGATTTTTGCTATAGGGTGTGTGCACTCACTGGATAAACAGAGACAGAAAGCAAGAAATCCCCCCCCAAGGGGTGGATGGCCACACAATCCCTTCTCCTCCATTTCCCTCTTGGGATTTTGGGCACACATGCACACATGCCTGGCATGAGTTTTAAGCTGTGGGTCTGGGACTTGAACAGTGGTTGACCATGTAGCAGTCCAGCACCTTAACCACTATACCACCTGCTGCCTCCTTAATTTTTATCTTTAATCTGACCTCTTTTTGGACTCTCCTGGCTTCTGCCATTTCCTTGTTCCTCTTTTGATGTAGAGGGGAAAGCCATGGCTCCCAAAGGAGGGATACCACAGTCCTAACCTTGGTTCTGCCACTTACCAGCTTAGGCAAGTTCCTTCATTTCCAGGACTTCAGGACCCTCTCTTTAAGTCTTGGACTCAGTGATTTCCAAAGGTCCTTCCAGTCCCATTTCTCAGATATCTCATTAAGCATCTTCTGTGATTCTCTACCCTTGCAATGTAATTTCCACAGGCTGAGGAATTCCTCTACAGATTTTTGCCTCAGAAAATCATATACTTGAATCAGCTCTTGCAAGTGAGTAGTGTGGGCCCCTCCTGCCTCATCCCAGGGCCTCTCTCCCTTCTTCTCACCCTCTCTAGCTAACTAATGGGCTCAGCACACTGAGAACAGTTGTGAATGGTGAACTGGGAATGTTAGGATGGGATATGGCCTGAGCCCAGGCTGGCAGGCAGAGGGCAGGTGGGATATATGGGAAGAAGGCTGTGACTCAGGGTGGGGGAAGATGCTGGGCAGTCCCTGACAGTGAGCTCTGTGCAGGAGGACTCCCTCAATGTGGCTGACCTGACCTCCCTCCGGGCCCCACTGGACATTCCCATCCCAGATCCCCCACCCAAGGATGATGAGGTGAGGCTCTCAGAGTACAGGGCTCGTCTTGTAAACCCAATGGAGATTATAGTCCTTTAACTTCCATGACTGTTCTGAAACTACTTTCACTTTTTGCCATAGATGGAAACAGATAAACAGGAGAAGAAAGAAGGTAAGGAAGGAACGGGCAACTAGGGAATGGGAAATGGCACACTGACTGTTGGATGAGAAGGCTCTGAATCCCCTCTTTCTCACAGTCCCTAAGTGTGGCTTTCTTCCTGGCAATGAGAAGCTCCTGGCTTTGCTTGCCCTGGTTAAGCCAGAAGTCTGGACTCTCAAAGAGAAGTGCATTCTGGTAAGCCTGGGACTGGGGGAAGTGGAAGGAGAAGTCCAGTAAGGCCAGGCCCTGGTCCTTCAGAGATGCCAGTCTCTGAGTCTGAGACCTAGTCCCCAAGAAGAAAACTTCCTTCTGTGCCCTGGGTTTAGATCCCCTTTGTTCTCCTCATTCTGCTAGACTTCTGATATCACAGTGACACCCCTGAAATCAGAGACTGATGTATCTACTTCTGTAACCTCAGAACCTACTGCTATACTCAGTACACAGTGGAGATGGTGTGATACAGAAAGCTACTTGGGTTCAAATCTTAATTCCATCACTTACCTAGCTGGTATCCTTAAGTAAGTCACCTAGGCATTCTGTGACTCAGTTTTTCCCATCTGATAAATGGGTACCATAAGAATACATATATTGTAGGGACCAGTAGTTGGCATAATGGCTATATTTCTGGACTCCCATATAGTCGACTATGGTTCGAGTTCCAGGCCTGGTGGCTTAAACTCACACCAGGTGTGTATATACGCATGCTCAAGATCCCGACAGGAGAATGGAGAAGGGACTGCAGCGTGGCCATCCCTCCTAGAGGGTGATTTCTCACTTTCTCTCTCTCTGTCTTTCTGGTGAGCGCACGCGCCCTATAGCAAAAAACCTCTCAAAAAGAATACATATTTTGTGAGGATGCTGTGGTGATTAAATATCAGTAATCTATAGCATAGTGCCTGGCATACAGTAAGTGTTTAGTTAAATACAGCTATTATTAGGAAGTGGCAGAAACAGGAAGAAACCAGTAGGTTTGTTAAATAATAGTCATATGATACATCTTAATATAGGTGATCACATGGATCCAGCACCTGATCCCCAAGATTGAGGATGGAAATGATTTTGGAGTAGCAATCCAGGTAAGAAAAGAAAGGACATTTAGACTAGGGAATTTGACTTGGGGGATTAAAGATAGGAGCTAGATGGGGCCAGCCAGGCAGTGTGGTGATGAAGGCAGGTGGATCCCATATGATCAGCTATGCATTTCAAGTCCCAGACGGGTGACTTGAAAAATGGGTTGTGTATATGTGGCCAAAATCCCAAGAGAAGAAAAGAGAACAAGGGATTTCAGTGTGGCCATCCCCTCTGGGGAGGGGTGCTTTCTCTCTCTCTTTCTCTCTCTCCCCTCCTCCCTCTAGCGAGCACACATATCCTATAGCCAAAAAAGAAGAGCAAGAGATAGGAGCTAGACATGAACGAGGAAGAGGAGAAGAGAGTGAGTGAAGGAAGGAGGAGAAGAAATGTTTTCTTTGCCTCCCATGTCACCCACAGGAGAAGGTGCTGGAGAGGGTGAATGCAGTCAAGACCAAAGTAGAAGCCTTCCAGACAACCATTTCCAAGTGAGGGCTACTGGAAAACCAGCGTGGGGGAACTTCAGGGACATTTCTTTGGGACTTTCAAAGATGTGTAGTCCCCTGGGAGACTGGAAAGGGTCTAGGAGAATATCTCTCTCTGAAGACCCATTCTTGTGGTATTCCTTTTGCTTCTGACAGGTACTTCTCAGAACGTGGGGATGCTGTGGCCAAGGCTTCGAAGGAGACCCATGTAGTGAGTGGACAGTCTGCTGGCCTTTTAGCTGAGGCTGGCTGGGGGTGGACCAAGGAAGAGGGGAAAGAGGCCCATGTCTTGTTTATGACCTACCCAAAGTGGTTACTATTAAGTCAAATCATTATCTAGAAACTGGTTCAGGCTTCAATAACCTTGATACCTTTCTCTGCTCCATCCTGTGGGATCCCATTTCTTGATGCTGCGAAGGGGCTTATGCTCCAGTTACTTATCCCCTATGTGAGGAAACTGCTAATATCACAGCCTCCCACGGGGCTGATTCAGCTTTGCCTCCCACACCTCAGATGGATTACCGGGCCTTGGTGCACGAGCGAGATGAGGCCGCCTATGGGATGCTCAGGGCTATGGTGCTGGACCTGAGGGCCTTCTATGTGAGCGTGGAGAAAACCCTTAGGGGAGGTGGGGAAAAGATTTGGGTGGAGGCCAAGAACCTGCCTGACTACTACTCTTCTGGCCTTCTCCCAGGCTGAGCTTTATCACATTATCAGCAGCAACCTGGAGAAAATTGTCAATCCAAAGGGTGAAGAGAAGCCGTCTATGTACTGAGCCCAGGGCTAGAAGGAAAATAAATGACTTATACTTTTACTTCTGATGTGCATGATTTATTCAAAAAGCATTTATTGAGTGCCACCTATGTCCAGATACTGAAGGCGTGGTGGTGGGAAAAGGAGTGGGTGTCAGGAAGGCAAAGATGAATTAGATGCTCATTCTGTTCTTAAGAGAGTCTCCTACAGCCAGCCTGTGACTTCGGGGTTAAGGTAGCTGGATCCCACATGGTAGATTGCATGGCTTGAGTCCCAGACCTGGTAGCTTGAGAGTTGCACTGGGCATATGTGCATGTGTGCCAAAAATCCTACCAGGAGGAAGAAATAGAGGAGGGGGGATTGAATGTGGCCATTCCCCAGGGGGTGCTTTCTCACTTTTTCTTTTTACCCCTCCTATTCTACCTTGTAAGTGTTCTGCAAAAAAACTTAAAAAAAAAAAATAAAATAAAGAAGGCCAGCCAGTCGTGTGATGGTTAGGATAGCTGGATCCCACACTGCTGACTGTGGTTCTAGTCCTGGACACAGCAGCCTGGGTAACATGCTAGATGCATGTATACGCATTCCTAAAATCCCAAAAGGGAGAGCAGCATGACCAACCCCTATAGAAGGTCCTTTCTTACTTTGTCTCTCTCTTGCTCTGTCTCTAGCAAACACGCATGCCCTCTAGCAAAATTTAAAAGAAGATCCAACCGAAGGACAGGGTGAACATTGTTATGTACCATGACAGCCATGCAGATAACTGTATTTTGGAATTTCATAAGATTTGTTCCATCTGGAAGTCTCATTTTGCACTTCATGGAAGAAGTGGCATTTGGGCAGAACCCTTATGGAAATAATCAGGCTTTGGATAGACAAGGGAAAGCCCTGTGACTGAAGAAAGGAACATTCCTCATCAGCACATGCATGTACAAGTGCCCAGCATGTTTCTTAAGCTACCTGATCCAGGATTTGAACCTCTCAGTCACCCACATGGGATCCAGGTCCCTTAACCTCTACACCATATGCTGGCACTGAGAATGAGATTTCACTGGGAGGATTATGAATGAATGGTTGGAATCCTCAAAGGGAGGGAGACAGGAGACAAGTCTCCCAAGATATCGTGATGAAAGAAATACACCACGAGACTTTATGAGAAGGATTTTTTTTTTTTTTTGAGAGGTTTTTCCTATAGGGTGCGTGTGCTTGCTGGAAAGACAGAGACAGAGGGACAGAAAGTGAGAAATCATCCCTTGGGAGGATGGCCATGCCGCAATCCCTTCTCCTCCATTCCCTCGGGATCTTGGGCCCACAAGAACATGCACTGGCGTGAGTTTAAGCCGCCGGATCTGGGACTCGAACCGCGACCGACTACAAGGCAGTCCAGCGACACAGCCATTATGCCAAGTACTGGTCCTGGAAGGATGGGTCTTTAAGTTTTGCTTTTTGTTCGCTCCGTTCACTTTGCCCACCAATTGGTGTCTTCATCTTTGCCTTTCAAGAATTCAGCCCTGAGCAGTGTGGTAGAAGGATTTTGGTTTTTGGTATGAAACCCACAGGAGGTTCCTTAATTCTTGGCCTTATTTTTGTTTTATAATATAGGATAAAAATGTGCTGGGCAGCTGAGCTGGCTCCATGGTGCAGTGTTAATGAGCTGCTCAAAAGGAGCAGTATCCCAAATGGCAGACACAGTTGGAATTCCCCAGTCTGTAACCCAGCAGCTAGTGCCCAGTATCCTACAGCCTGGAAGATTAGAGGAAAAGGATCATGATCAGATGTGTGGAGGACACTCCGTCTCTCTCCATCTCTCACTCTCACTGCACACTATCATGAATAAAGATGAAATACTTTTAACTAAGAAAATGGAAGCTCGTCTACATACATATCTCATTTAACCCTTAAAGGACCATAGTCAGCAGATACTACACTAAGGAAACCAAGAGCCAGATTACCTGAAGTCGTGAAAGTAACATGGCTTGTTGATTAGTGATAAAGCCGGTCCATAGTACAGAGCCACTCATTCCATATAAGGAGCACGACAGCCAGCTTTGCGACCAGGTTGGAATATCCCCGGTTCCGGGACACCAGGCTGCTAGCGAGCGCTCCACCCGCTGGCTCGGAGGGCCTGTGTGGGCGGGCAGAACAGGTAACAGGCAAAGCCAATCTGCAATCAAGAGCGGAAGTCAGGCAGAAGAGCCAATGAGGATCAGCGCAGATTTTTTTCCTTTACAGTTGCGGGTCCTTTCCAGTCCCGGAGAGACGAAGGAGGGACAACGACTAGAAACGCTCACTGATTGGACAAAATGATAACCTCTAGCCCTATCAAAAGCATCACAGGGCGAGGCTCCAGTAGCTGGTCCGGTTTAGAGCTGCCGGCTCAGCGTCCTCAGCACAGGTGTAAATCTGCTACCGCTTGCTCGGGGCGGGGGGAGACAAGGATTGTTACTCTGGGATGCAATGAACCTCCTTGTGAGACTGGCCGGGAGCGGGCACCAGGACTGAAGTCGCCCGGAGCCGGAGGGCTGCTTTCGAGCCGAGTTAGCTTCAGTGGCGAACCTAAGTGAGGGGGTACGGGAAAGGGCGCCGGGACGCTGGTGAGAGCTTCTCGGACGCTGGTTGCGGACAGTTGCTCCTTGGCGGAGTGAGCGACTTGCACTAACTGGGTTTGCTGCGTCCCGGGCAGGCCCTGCTCGCCATGGGGGAGGTGGAGATCTCGGCCCGGGCCTACGTGAAGATGTGCCTTCACGCCGCCCGGTACCCACACGCCGCGGTCAACGGGCTGCTGCTGGCCCCAGCCCCGCGGTCAAGAGAATGCCTGTGTCTCTCCGACTGTGTCCCCCTCTTCCACAGCCACCTGCCCCTGTCGGTCATGCTGGAGGTCGCCCTCAACCAGGTGCCGCCGCTGAACACCCCCTAACCCCGAGCACAAACTCCCTAACACCCCTAGCCCAAGTCCATTTCTCGCCCCTTGGCAACAGCGCGCAGCCACAGGGCCCACTACACAGTTTAGGTACTGACAGCCCCTTTCTCACGGCAGGTGGATGTGTGGGGCGCACAGGCCGGTCTGGTGGTGGCTGGGTACTACCATGCCAACGCAGCCCTGGACGACCAGAGGTGAGTGGGGTAGCCAGAATCAGAGGGCAAAGGATTAGAGTGGGGGCAAGAGAACCGAGGTCATTCCGAGCCCAGCCTGCCCTGCGGTGTGGGTGGGAAGACAATTGTGTATCCACAACAGGCTGATTTTGCTTTAACTGTCCCCAAGTGCTGAAAGAACACGGGGAATTCAACCAACAATTTTTCCCTTTTTTTTTTTTAATAATTATTTTATTGGGACCAGCAGTTTGTGTAATGGCTGGACTCCACGTAGTCGACCGCGGTTCGCGTCCTGGACCCGGTGGCTTAAAACTCAACGCCAGGCGCATGTGCGTGCATGCCCAAGATTCCTAGAGGAGAATGGAGGAGAAGGGATTGCGGGGTGGCCATCCCCCTGGGGTGGTGATTTCTCACTTTCTATCTCTCTGTCTCTCTGTGTCTTTCTGGCAAGTGCATACACCCTATAGCAAAAGCTTCTCCCCCCCAAAAAAAGAATTATTTTATTTAACTTTATTTACTTGTTGATTTATTTTAATTTGACCAGAGCAAGGAAGAGTGAGAGAGAGGGAAAGTGAGAAAGCAAGCCACCAGGTCTGGGGCTTGAACCGTGGTTGGCCGACCATGTGGGAGTCCAGCACCCTAACCACCACACCACCTGCCAGCCCAACCCCCCTTTTATATTTAAGAGAATTTAAAAAAAGTTGTTTTATTTAACTTTATTTATTTATTTATTTTAATTTGACTAGAGAGTAACAGACTAAGAGAGAGATGAAGAGGGAAATTGAGAAAGCAAGCTGCCAGGTCTGGAACTTGAACCCCAGTGGGCCATGTGGGAGGTCAGCGTTTTAACCACCATGTCACCTGCCAGCCCTGAGATTTTTTTTAAGAGAGATTTTTTTAAAAAAGAAGTATTTTCTTTAACTTTATTTATTAATTTGTTAATTTAAATGTGACCAGAGTGACAGAGTGAGAGAGGGCAAAGTGTGAAAGCAACACGCCAGGTCCGGGACTCTAACCAGTTGACCATGTGGGAGTCCAGCATCCTTAACCACCACACCACTTGCCAGCTTCTTAAGAAAGATTTTTGCTATAGGGTGTGTGCACTCGTCAGAGAGGACAGAGACAGAACGCAAGGAATCAACGCCCCCGGGGGGATGGCCACACCACAATCCCTTTTCCTCCATTCTCCTCTCAGGATTTTGGGCATGCACGTACATGCACCCAGTGTGAGTTTTAAGCCACTGGGTCCTGGACTCGAACTGTGATGGACTTCATGGGAGTCCAGCAAGGTAACTATTATGCCATCTGTTGGTCCCACAACCAACAACTAAAAAAAAAATTCTTTGTATATATCAAGGAAAAGTAGATAATTGTATATAAATTATATGTATGGATGAAGTTAGAAATACTGTTTTGTGGGGCAAGCAGATAGTGCAGCAGTTTTATTGCAGCAGTTACATCATTAGATTCCTACTTGGCTGACCACAGTTCGAGCCCTAGACCCCGTGGCTTGAAAATCATGCCAGGTGCGTGTGCGTGCGTGACCAAATCCAAAGGAGAGGAGTATGGAGGAGAAGTGATTGTGGCGTGACCATCCCCCTGGGGGTCATTTCTCACTTTCCCTCTAGCTGTCTCTCTCTCTCCAGTAAGTGTACATGCCCTGTCCTAAGGCAAAAAGCTCTTAAGAAATAAAGGGTACTAGCAGATGGCGTAATGGTTATATCACTGGACTCCCGCGTAGTTGACTGTGGTTTGAATCCTAGACCTAACAGCTTGAAACTCACAGTGGATGTGTGTGTGCATGTGTGCCTGCCCAAAATCCCAAGAGGAGAAGGAATTGCAGTGTGGCCATCCTCCCTGGGGGGTGATTTCTTAATTTCTTTCTGTCTTTCTCTGGCAAGCCCCCATCCCTATTGCAAAAACATAAATAAATAAATAAATAAATAAATAAATAAATAAATAAATGTACAACTGTATCATATTATATAGCTGTTAGGAATATGGTATGAAAATAGAAAGATGGGATTTTGGGCACATGTGCACACACACTTGGCATGATTTTCAAGCCTCCAGGTCCAAGACTTGAACTGCAGTGAGCAATGTGGGAGTCCAGGTCTTAACTACTATACCACCTGCTGGCCCATGTACCATAATTTATTTAATGTCCTATGTTAAACATTAAAACTGTTTCCAGTTTTTTTTTTATTATCTACACTGTCCTATTATTACAGTAATTCTTTTTTTAATTGCTAGAAGGTGTGTATACTTGCCAGAGAGACGAGAGAAAGCACTTCCTAATGGGGCATGCTCATGCCTCAGACCTTCTCCTCCAGTTCTCTGCTTACTCCTCTCCCTTCTGCAGTGGCTTGGGGCACACATATCTGATGTGATTTTCAAGCTGCCAGGGCTGGGATTCAAACCACAGCTGGCTATGTAGGATTCAGCTCCCTTTACCACTAGGCTGGCCCTACAGTAATTTCTTTAGAAATGGAATTTCCGGGCTAGCCTATGTATGGCATATAGTTTCAATTTGGCCAAATCACCCTCCAAAAGGACTACCTTTCATTTCCACTCTTACCAGCAGTGTCTGAGCACGTTTCCCACAGACCTCAAGCATCAAGCTATCCTGCCTCAAGCATCAAGCAGGCCCCAACCCTCCAGGCCAGTGGCAGGGAAAGACCACAAATGCACCCGCATCTATGAGACCTGGGAAGCCCAGCCCAGATGGACAGGGCCTGCCCTCGTTGGCTCCTCACTCCTCTGATCTTCCCTCTACACAGCCCTGGGCTCCTGGCCTTGAAAATTGCTGGGCGAATTGCAGAATTCTTTCCTGATGCAGTACTTATTATGGTGAGGCTTGGGTTTCTGGGGAGGGAGGTAGAAATTAGGGAGAAGGGTCCTTGAAATTCTCACCTACCCTTCTTTGTCTACCCAGTTGGATAATCAGAAACTAGTGCCACAGCCTCGTGTGCCTCCGGTCATCGTCCTAGAGAACCAAGGTCTCCGCTGGGTTCCCAAGGACAAGAACTTGTGAGTGCCCCATCCCCTCTACCTTTTCTTGGAAACCCAAGGCTCCTGGGTTTCCGCTGTCTTGGTCCTACCCCAGAAGTCCTTGGTTAAACCCAGTCTCTATTAAGTCTGTGTCTGACTCCTCTGCCTGCTGAGTTTGCCCTTCATGGGGTTACCATTTCAGAGTGATGTGGAGGGACTGGGAAGAGTCACGGCAGATGGTGGGAGCACTACTGGAGGGCCGGGCCCACCAGCACCTTGTGGACTTTGACTGCCACCTTGATGACATCCGGCAGGACTGGACCAACCAGCAGCTCAACACTCAAATTACCCAGTGGGTTGGTCGCACCAACGGAAATGCCTGAGCCAGGGCCAGGAAGGGTCAGGCTCCAATAAAGAGACTTGGGCTACTGGGGAACAGTATGACTGTGTTTATTGTGCCTGGGAGATGGGGGGAGGAAGAAACCTCAACAGGAGGAGGTTGGGGAAAATCTGAAGTCCCTGATAAGAAGTGATGTCATGCTCTGTTGTACTCATCACAGGATACGAGGAGGCTCTCAATAGATCATTCCCTTTGTCTCTCCCCTGGGCTTCTTGAGCTTCTCCAAGTTCTTCAGGATGATATCATATAATACAGCCTACAGGCCCAGGGAGATGTAGGGTCAGCTGCAGGCCTCCAGTGGCTCTGTCCCCCATTTCTAGTCTGGTGGTGAGGCCGAGCTCTGTCACCCTTCACTCCCCAGCCTGCAGGGTCAGGACTGAGCTACTTTCTAGGAAAGATGCCCACCCCTTCCCTGCCCTCACATCCTCACATAAGCATTGCGGATCTCCATGACCATCAGCCGGATGTCCCGGTACTCTGCCTCATCCAGCTCGTGCACCAGCTGCCGGTAATCACCCTGCGGGAAACTCAGGGTCAGGTCTGATGTCAAATGCGTCCTTCCCCCATGCACCTTGGGCTTCACCTACCACATGGGGCTGCTTGGCTGCTTTGGCCACTGCGTCACCGCGCTCAGAGAAGTATCTGTGGGAAGAAGTGTGTATGGAGTGGGAGGAGGAGCAGGGAGCGTGGGCCTCTGTCCCAAAACAAAGGCAAAGTGCATGAGGTGAGAAGAGGCAGTTGCTCACTTGGAAATCTGAGTGTGGAAGCCTTCCAACTTGGTGTGAAGGCTGGTCATCAGCTCAAACACCTTCTCCTGGGGAAAGAAGGTGAGGGGAAAGTAGGAGGAAGCATGGACTGGAAAGGAAGGCAGGGAGTGGGAGACCCTCTCACCTGGACAGCCACTCCAAAATTGTTACCATCCTCAATCCGAGGTATCTGCAGCTGCAACCAGGTGGTGACCTGGGGCAAGAAAGACATTAAGTTACATCAGTACCCCCCCACACACACACACACCCAGTTCCCAGGTTTCTATCCTCCTCTGCTTCCCTGCCCAGCCTGGGTAGAGCTGTGGCAGGTCTGTCCTAAGCCCCAGGGCCTGGACTCTGGCTTCACTTGGTAAGACCTGGCAAATGCCATACCTGGCAGGGACCAAGAGGACAGGGTTTCACCTGGAGCCTGAGGGTGAAAGTAGGAGGGCTCACCAGGTTGAGCTGCTCAATGACATCCTCAATCTCAGGCTTCAGGCGTTGCAGGAGGACCACGATCTTCTCGTTGCAGTTCACTGGTCCACAGGGAGGACCTAGAGAGTGGGCAGTGGGTCAGTCACTTAGCCTGTGTAAGAGGTGGGGGAGGGAAGAGCCCCTAAGGTGGGGCTCAAGCCTCTTCTCGTAGTGGTTTCAAAGACCTTTGTCTTCATCGTCATCTTTCTTCTTTTCATCCTTGTCTTCCTTCTGCAGGGGGAGAGGGGTGCATGGGTGTCAGGGCTCAGGCTGATTTTCCCCTTGGTTGGGTCCTTCCTCCCAAGTCTTCCTGACTTGCCTCCTGCTGTTTCTTCCTCTCCTCCTTCTCTTTCTCCTTGACTGGATCAGGCACTGGGATGTCCAATGGAGCTTTCAGATTGCTCAGGTCGGCTTCATTGAGAGCTGGCTCCTGGGTGGGAAGAGAGCCAGAGGTGAGGCTGTCCCTCTCCCCTCCTAACTCATATGCCCCCCCCCCCCGCCCCATACTCTTTTCGCCCCTATTGTAGATCCCTGCCTGGCCCGAGTACCTTTAAAAATGCATCCAACTCAGAAATCTTCTTGGGGAAATAACTTCCGAGCAGGTCCTCTGTCTGTGTGTAGGATGGATGTGGAGGTTGGAGGTCAGAATCAAATGCTCTTCCTAGGCCATGCGGCAGGGCTGAGACTGGCAAGCAAGGGAGGGCTGGGCAGCAGGAGCTGGGGGTTGGGGTGCCAATGGCCAGGTCTTACCTTGGTACACAGGTATTCACGAAACACGTCCACCTGTGGGACACAGGCAACCCTTCAGAAACCTGGCATTAGAGCCAGTTCATCTGAGAACAGTTTCCATAGGGCTGTGGAGACCTGACCTGGGGAAGGGTGGAATGGATCCTTCTCAAGCCAGACCCGAAGAAGGGAAGAAGGGGAGCCGGATCCCTGTGAGGGGGAACTGGGGTGTTGGAGGAGTGGATCTTTGCAGACATGGATCCCGGCGGGGCTGGGAAAGGATGGTGTGGATCCCCTCGGCTTCCTGTCAGCGGGGATCCCTGGGGTCGCCTGGGCTGCGTGCGGGATGTAAGAGCGCCCTCTGCGAGTGGGACTGTGAAGACGGCTCCCGGGTCCACCCTGAGCGAAAGGCCACGGGATGCCGAGGCAGGTCCCGCACCCGGCTTGTGTGTGGTCCTGGGCCTCAGGCCAGCGGACTTCCCCTCCACGCTAGCTCTTCGCCTCACCTCACTCCGCTGAGCCACGGCCGCCTCTCCTCCGCCCCGCCCCCCCGCCAGTCTCCCTGGGACTCCGCTCGGGTCACGCAGACTGCTGGCATGCAGTCACACATGGTGGGGGGCTCGGGGTGGATCCGGATGCCCACAGTCTCTAGGAGCCACGCCTCCCCATGGGCCCTGCCTTGAACTCGCGGCGCTCACCTTGGCTTGGGCTTCAGGCTGCACCCTGAGCGTGGCCATTGCTGGGGCGATGGGCCGAGCGCCGCGCTAGGAGCGAGGAGTGGGCACCGGGAAGGGAAAGCGAAAGCAGCGCTCGCTACCCGCACTGCCTTCCTGGGCAGCCGTGAGTGGAGCGACTGGGGGGGG